TGCCTACTATTATGTGGAATTAAAAAAAATTGGATATGACTTGTTTTGTTTGTTTGGTTTTATTGTATTTATATGATATTTGTATTTTTGTAATTTTATTTTTTGCCTTGAAAATAACCCTAGATGCCGACATGGCATTAAATAAAACAATCTATTTGCTATTATGTGGAAATCGTGTTTTGTTATTACATGTTTTATTATTCTTTGATTAATAGAAAACATTTGAAATATTTTTTTTAGTTAATAATTTAGTCAGTTTCATAATTTTAAAGCATCCTTGCTGAAAAGATGTATTAATTCTTACTACTCCAATCTTTTTGATGATGGTGTGTAAATGTGGCTGTGGTCACTGTTTGTGTTTGTATTGACATCACTGTTTGATTTAGGATTGAAAGAACAACTGGAAGCTCCTTCGCAACAAGTGTACATGACAAGCCCGACCGATAAAGGATTTTGAAGGCTGATACCGATACAAATATTTGTTGGTTTTAAAATCCGATATATCGGCCGATTTTTTTTTTTTTTTTTTTTTTTTTTTTTTCAGAAACATGCAACAAAACATTTACAGATTTCCCTAACATTAGTTATTTATAGCTATGTTTGAGTTTTAAATAAAATAATATGATGATGCATTTTAAAAAGAAATGTCGCAACAGAACATAGAAACCAAAGCTCATTAATGTTGACGTTAGCGGTATTAATGATAGTGGCATTAGCTAGCTTTGTGGTTAGCTAGTCTATGATGAGCCAATATTTAGCAATGGATAACGTCATACTGCAAATTGTAAAACATACATTTTTTATATATACAGGCCAAGGAGAGATGATATGTCTCATTGCTATAACTGTCAAGCGCTATTAAATAAATACTTCAGTCACATTGTCAAAAGTTAAAGGACAGTTAAGTCAACTACACTGTAACAACGTAGCGTAATTATTACTAGCTAATTCCACTTCACTCTCGGCTTATTTAACAGCAGCAAAACTGGACATAATAGTCACAAATTTAGTCATGCTAATTTTGAGTTAAGAGAACTGATGGGGATGTTCTTTTAATTGTTATTCAAGCAATGTTGGTCTCGTGACCAACTCACCATGAACACGCTTCACCGATGATCTCACTTGCGGATAACTGGTTCTCTCTGCCCGACTTTAGCTGGATCAACAGGTTGCAGAAAGTGTGGCACATTATAAACGAGTGTTGCCAACAGGGACTGTGTAGAGTGCCCCTGTGGTGGACAAACTATACAACTCCAACACTCATGACATGGTTGAAGTGTGTTTCGTCCATTTTTATTTATTTTTGAAATATTAATTTATCGGCCATTATAACTGCCGATACCGATATTTTGGAAAATGCCTAATATCGGCCGATAATATCGGCCTGCCGATATATCGGTCTGGCTCTAATCTGAACATGAACAACAATATTTTATCATGTGCAGTTTGTAGGCTGTTTTTGTGAGTATACATTTTTTAGGATCTGGGGGCAGGCAGATGACAGTGGTCACAAGTTAAAGAGTTAACTTTTTAAAATTACTGTTTGAATTGGTGAATTTTTTTACACAAAAGCAAGAAATATTTAGCTTAAAAATTACACATAAATAACGCATTAATAAACGCATACATTTGAAATATAAATACAATGGCATAAGGATAACACTTTACAATAAGGTCCGTTAGTTAACATTAGTTAACTACATTAGTTAATATGAACTGCACATATACAGCATTTATTGATCTTTGTTAATGTTAATTTCAACATTTACTAAAATTTTATTTAAATCTTGTTAACATTAGTTAATGCACCGTGAACTAACATGAACAAACAATGAACAGCTGTATTTTTATTAACTAACGGTAACAAAGATGAACAAATACAGTAACAAATGTATTGCTCATGGTTAGTTAATACATTAACTAATGTTAACCTTATTGTAAAGTGTTACCGGCATAAGTATTATTATTGTAACCTTCAATAACGATCATAATAATTAGTAGCGGAAGACTTTTTTCACAGACTTAAAATGTATACCACAATCAAATTCACTTCCTATAAATAAATCATAAATCATAATCTCCTTGTTCTCTATTTTAACTTCTGCTATATTTCCTGTACTAGCTTACTCTTGACTATTGTTGACTATCATAGACAGGCACTTATTATTGCTTGTGATGTTCCTCAAATGTGGCTTTGGATAAAAGCATCTCTGCTATTTTGCTAAATGTTCATAAACTCATAAACATTAAAAAATAATCTCTATTGGACATAAAACTACATCTCTAGCAAGGTTAACCTTTTTCCCAGGTGTCTGTGCTTCTAATAAGTCTACTGTAAGTCGCTTTTGATAAAAGCACCAGCTAAATGACCATTAATTGGTTATTAAACTTGGTGTGAATGACCAGCTCTGTGAATTCAATGAACCTAGGTGATTGTGAGAGGCTTTTTGGTTGTATTTGTATTTCCTGTCTTTTGCTCGGCTTGATCTTTTTCCTTGTCTCTGAGTGATTAGTAGTAGCACATGGTGCCCACATGTTGTGCCTTACATTCTTTGTCTTGTGTCCTCACTCACACACACACGCACACACATTCCAGTCCCTAGCAGCCAACTCAAGTGTTTTTTACAGCTCATTCTCTCCTGTGTACTCATGCACCCTTTAGTTATGTGCACTACTCGGTCATAGACACAAATTGAAGGTTTGTTAATTCAACGGGGCAATTAGAGCTTCCATTCACATGTGACGGTGCCATGGCAATATCAGCGTGTGTGAATGAGCTGTAGTGTGTGTGCTTGTGTTGGTGAGAGAGAGATTTGGGCAAGGGGTAGTCAGGCAGGTGCAATGACAGCTGGTCTGGGCCGCTTAAACCGAGGGGGAGGAAGAGAGCGGTCTAAAGACTAAGTACTGCATCGAAAACGAGAGAAATTTAAATTAAAAAAAGGATCAGCTCTAGAAATAGACCCATTTCTTGCATGTGCCTTTTGATTTTCCATTGTGAAGCAATGGGCAGTTTTAATGTTCCTCGCTTTAGTTGCTTGTTTCTCTAGACAGATGATACTTTAATATGCCATATGAGTCACTGCTCCATAACCACAATGAGCTTATGCGTGTTCATAAGACACGTGTGTGTGTGTGTGTGTGTGTGTGGAAGTGGAAGATGAAGTGTGTTTTGGAAAGGCTCTGAAGGAGCTAATGTTTGCAGAACAGGGAGAATGGAAACGTGAGAGAGAGGGGGGGTTTGCGAGTCTTGTGAAAACCTTTTATAGCTTGCGGGGAGAGAGATGTATTCACTAGTCTTTACTGAAAGAGACAACTTTATAGAAAGAAACCAAATTGGCAGATTAAAGGGACGAGACGGGGAAAAATACTGCAGCATATAATTGAGGTTTGGAGTCTCCACTGGCACTGTTGGATTTTTACTCTTAAAAACAGAGCTAAAACTAAAACATAGGGATATAAAGAGCATTTGAATTTGAATCAAGGTTTTGACTTGAATTGGTTATTAGGGAACTCGTTTAAAGCCAAATGTGTCTGAGGAGAGACTAACAGTATGGAAAGAAAAGCAGACAGATCTGTTTAATGGCCAGCGCCTTTCCAACAACCCAAGGCCAAATATGTGAACTGGACTGATAAAAATAGCCAAACACTGCAGTATTTCTCAAAACATACATGCTTATCTGAATCTGTGAAAAGTCACATTTGGTCTCAAGTTCTCTTTCAGTCTTAGTTGGATGATGATTATGATGAATTTGGCATCTTTAACAAATGAAACTGTCAATTAAAGTCTTTCTCACCATCAAACAATGGGTGATATTTGAGATGGACAGGCTTTAATAGTGAAATCAGACTATATGTAAATACACAGCTTGCAATGGCACGTTGATATCGAAAATAGGGTAACACTTTGTTTTACAGTGTCATTCCTTGTTACATGTAGCTACTATAAAATAACTATAAATGCTTACATGCAGCTAACCCTAAAGCAAGCCTAACCCTATAATAAGTACATATAGTTAAGTTAACTAATACTACTCAGTACTTAAGTTAAGTGTATAATTACACTAGCTAGACATTTTTACTCCAGGGCAAGTAGACACTGATCTCAATATACATCAGTGAGTAACACAACCATCATTGCTCTAAATAGATTAATAAATTCCACTAAAGTGGCTAAAAAAAGGGTGAAGCAACTGGAAACGTACTTGAATCAAACTGAGAAACTACCTTAAAAGTGTCTTTTCTCTTTGCTGATCTACCTACTACTGGATAACTTTTATATTGTATTATGTTCACCCAAAAATTAAAATTCTTTCATCAATTACTCTCCCTCAAGCTGTTCCAAACCTGCATGAGTCTCTTTCTTCTGCTGAACACAAAATACGATATTTTAAAGAATAGGTAACCAAGCAGTTGATGAGGCCCATTGACTTCCATAGTATAGAATGGAACCTATGGAAGTCAGTGGGGACTAGAAGCCATTCGGTTGCCTACATCCTTCAAACTGTCTTCAGAAGACAAGAAAGAAATTCATACAGGTTTGGGACAACTTGAGGGTGAGTATTATGGAAATGTCAGATTTTTTTTATTTTTGGGTGAACTATCCCTTTAACTGTTTGTGTGACACAAGAGATACCTCTAGTGGTGAAGAGGCAATATTACACTGACCTTGATAGGCCCTATTGCAGATGTAACGATAAACTGATAAGTACTTGTGTATAAGACAGATCTCCAGTTTGGGACTTGCTTTCATACACAAACATTACAGAGTCATCTGTGTAACCAGTGTTGCTGTTTTCATTGTCTCTGCCTTGCTACTCTTTCCCCACTGTGTTTCTTAGCCCTCTGGGAATACTGCATAATATCCTGGAGCTATAGGGAATGTATAGTTGTGTCATTTCCAATTAGCTGGTATTTCTTGGGGGTATTTGAATATAGACATATCCTTGATCCAAACAGATCATCTCCTTCTGCTTCATGATGCATATGCTTATCTATCACAGGAAGAGGCGATCCCAGAGCTGGAGATTGACGTGGATGAGCTGTTGGACATGGAGAACGACGTAGACCGTGCTGCACGAGTCAAGGTAATCTCAAAAATGTCCGATTTCATCTTTGATTTTTAACTGGCTTTACATTTGTATAACATTTCTTTCTCTTATTGCCCAACAGGACCTGCTGGTAGACTGTTATAAACCTACTGAGGTGAGTAAATTGTGTCGTACCTAAGAGCATGCAGGGTTATTAGAAAAAAGGATTCATTGGGGTTCTATATATGAAGCATATGGTTCTTTACTTAACTCCAAAAAACCTTTTATTCTAAAAAAGGTTCCATAATGACAAGAAAGAACCCTTTTGGCACAGAGGTTCTTTATAGGCTATTATTCATTCATATATTACATTATTCTGCAACATTTTGTAGTTTTGTACAAACCCAATTCCATAAAAGTTGGGACACTGTACAAATTGTGAATAAAAACAGAATGCAATGATGTGGAAGTTTCAAATTTCAATATTATATTTAGAATACAACATAGATGACATATCAAATGTTGAAAGTGAGACATTTTGAATTGCCATGCCAAATATTGGCTCCTTTTGGATTTCATGAGAGCTACAAATTCCAAAAAAGTTGGGACAGGTAGCAATAAGAAGCCAGAAAAGTTAAATGTACATATAAGGAACAGCTGGAGGACCAATTTGCAACTTATTAGGTCAATTGGCAACATGATTGGGTATAAAAAGAGCCTCTCAGAGTGGCAGTTCGTGTTTCTCAATGTCAAGGATACTTCCTTGGCAGGACGGGTCCTTCCAAGTCATTTCCTTCAGAGGCTAGGCAAGGGTCCTCTTTAGCGTTCGGAGAACACGTAAATGGAACAGGCTAGCAAGTGCACGTCATTGCGTCATTACATCAGTGAAAGGTCCGCTTCGGCGCTGCAAAAATCATTGTGCTGGTGTACTGCACTGTTTAAATACACTTGACAGTCCTTATTTTGTCTTGTCAGTCCTCATAGAAATAAATAAATAAAGGGATAATGTATAACCAGGCGGTTGTTATAGTGAATACAACCCCGCAAACTCTAAGGGGTCTTGATCAGCCGGTTGTATTCGCTGTAACAACCGCCTCGCTATACATTTTCCCACTTATAACATGGCTACCTACCAAATAAATCAATAATTTGACACAAAATATTGATTTAAAAAGGAGTTTATTCATTCAAAAACGATTATATTACCGGAGTTAACAGAACTACGTCCATATAGCAACATGATCTAACGTTAGCTGTTAAAACACATGCAATTGTAAAATATGTGACCAACAAAAAAGGCTATGAAGTAAAAATTAAAAAGTTAATCACCAGTAAAAGGGAACAGCTTTAAATCCCCTCAGCAAATTTGAGCCGATATGTTAAATAGTTTAACAAACATTAAATAAATGGCTAAACTGAAATTATACTTGCTTACATTTGAAAGCATATTGCCGTTATCACTCCGACTCCGCTAACGGTCGACATTTTTTTATTTTTTGAACAAGATAGCAAAGCTGCGCATAGGATTGTGGGTGATTTAAGAGCGCGAAGGCTACACATATGCATCCTTTCCTGTGTATGGGATATTTTCCGAACGAAGGACTCAGTCCTTGGTTGAAATTCTGAGGATCCTCGACATTGGAACAGTCCTTCGACGGACGTCGATGACGTAGCATCCTCGAAATTCCGGCTTCCGAGGATCCTTCCTTGACATTGAGAAACGCCTCGAGTCTCTCAGAAGTCAAGATGGGCAGAGGATCACCAATTCCCCCAATGCTGAGGCAAAAAATAGTGGAGCAATATCAGAAAGGAGTTTCTCAGAGAAAAATTGCAAAGAGTTTGAAGTTATTATCATCAACAGTGCATAATATCATCCAAAGATTCAGAGAATCTGGAACAATCTCTGTGCATAAGGGTCAAGGCCGGAAAACCATACTGAATGCCCGTGATCTTCGGGCCTTAGACGGCACTGCATCACACACAGGAATGCTACTGTAATGGAAATCGCAACATGGGCTCAAGAATACTTCCAGAAAACATTGTCAGTGAACACAATCCACCGTGCCATTCACCGTTGCCGGCTAAAGCTCTATAGGTCAAAAAAGAAGCCATATCTAAACGGGAACCAGAAGCGCAGGCGTTTTCTCTGGGCCAAGGCTCATTTAAAGTGGACTCTAGCAAAGTGGAAAACTGTTCTGAGGTCAGACGAATCAAAATTTGAAGTTCTTTTTGGAAAACTGGGACGCCATGTCATCCGGACTAAAGAGGACAAGGACAACCCAAGTTGTTATCAGCGCTCAGTTCAGAAGCCTGCATCTCTGATGGTATGGGGTTGCATGAGTGCGTGTGACATGGGCAGCTTACACATCTGGAAAGGCACAATCAATGCTGAAAGGTATATCCAAGTTCTAGAACAACATATGCTCCCATCCAGACATCGTCTCTTTCAGGGAAGACCTTGTATTTTCCAACAAGACAATGCCAAACCACATACTGCATCAATTACAACATCATGGCTGCGTAGAAGAAGGATCCGGGTACTGAAATGGCCAGCCTGCAGTCCAGATCTTTCACCTATAGAAAACATTTGGTGCATCATAAAGAGGAAGATGCAACAAAGAAGACCTAAGACAGTTGAGCAGCTAGAAGCCTTTATTAGACAAGAATAGGACAACATTCCTATTCCTAAACTTGAGCAACTTGTCTCCTCAGTCCCCAGACGTTTGCAGACTGTTATTAAAAGAAGAGGGGATGCCACACAGTGGTAAAAATGGCCTTGTCCCAACTTTTTTGAGATGTGTTGATGCCATGAAATTTAAAATCAACTTTTTTTCCCCTTAAAAATTATGCATTTTCTCAGTTTAAAACATTTGATATGTCATCTGTGTTGTTTCTAAATATAATATTGAAATTTGAAACTTCCACATCATTGCATTCTGTTTTTAATCACAATTTGTACAGTGTCCCAACTTTTATGGAATTGGGTTTGTAGTTGTTATTGTTTATTAAACTGTTGTAGTGACTTAATATCACATTTTTAATCATTCTGATTGCTGAAAGAAGAAAAACTGAAATGGCACTCTTCGTGTGATATTGATTAACTACATAAAGTGATATAATTTTATTTTCTTTTTTAACCCCCATATCTTGAATTTTGTGATCATTCACATACATTCATGAATACATTTTAGGTACTTGATGTTTGTCAATAATATGAAATATTTAATCCGGAAAGGAAACAAATAATGATGAATGAACCCAAAAGGTCCATAAAGAACATTTTCCTGGTTACAAAGAACCTTAAAGGGTTCTTAATTATTGAACCATTAAAAGGGTTCTGTAATAGAACCTTTTAGGGGTTCCAAATCCTTTTAAGGTTCTATATAGAACCTTTTCTTCTAAAGGGGGTCGCACACCGGGGG